TGCCCAACCATTAGCTTATGCACTAGATATTGACAGACTGTTGTTCACGCAGCTTGCCATAAGCCCTTATGTAATGTTTAGCTTCTCCTGCTGTTCTTAAACGTAATATATATCAGCTTTCTGGGCATCAGTCCAGCCCGATATTCTAACTGCTTCATTTAAGGCGTCGATAAAGCTTTCAACATCCTCATTTGCACTACCGTGATACAACTGTACGACATTTGTTAAGTGTGTTGTGCCACGTGTCCCTATTTGTGCGGGTTGCTCCACTGCAGCTTCGTGGTTAGCATCAGCCCTTCTATCACCTCTAGGGTGTGCACCACCCTCTTCTGTAGTCGTATATACACCAGCAGTAGCCATAACTACTTAATTCTAACTTACACTACTTATAGTACTTCGGCTGACTTTCTTACTTTTCTGCCTTTCTTTATTTTAACTAACCTGTCGTTAGCTACTCCAAAGATCCTCGAGACTGTGCCAGCTGTAATGAGTAGTGCTCTGGTGGGCTTAATTGTTGGAGTTTCAATTAAAACTACTCGTTACACCAAATTTATTTATTGGAGGATTTGTCGTAACGAGTGGAGCCACAAGTTGCTAACGCGAGGAATTTACGGTTAGATTAAAGAAATAGAGTCTCGAGTCAATGGTGAACACTTAGAATAATATTTATTTAACATTTAACAACTTCTCAAAACATTACAAACTTTGAACATCAGTTACATTGGATTACTACTTATATATTCGTATTAAACACTTTTATTTAGTTACATTTACTATCTTCTATAATTACACAATAGCTTATTAAAAGAGAGAGATTATACTTACAGTATAGTTGGGTTGTTGGAAGTCTTAACCACATTTTTCATTTTCATTGTCAGCTTTTCAGAGCCTGAAAAACTGCTCCTGGAGACTTACTCTTGGAGAACTTCTACTCAGAGAAGTTACTGGAGAACTCTCTCAGTACTGATTTTTCAGTCTCTGACATGTGTTTTTTAACTAACTTTTCTTAGTATCATCTCGACCTACTAAATAGGACACAGCATCACCTACAAGTAGTCCTGTGCTCTTATTGGATACTTAAGGGGAATTCCCAGGCTAAAACAAAACCATAACCAGAACTCTCAAGTAATTGGTTATAGATAAGTGGTGTTAGCCAGCCACCTATTCACTTGTACTGCTACACCCATGTGCTGTAACTGATATTACCTCAAAGTGCTGATATGATTCACTAAAACTAAACTTTTCTATAGATTTCCTAGTTCTAAGGGGTTGAGGTCAGTACTAGTGCACTCATTTTGTTTTTAGGCAACAATTCTTACGTAACTATGCTTCTGACTTTGGTTACTAGTTCCCAAGCTCGTTTCACAAGCTTATTTCGTAATACATATGTCTTGTTACTTGTTTCTAGGCAACACATCTTACATAACTAGGCTCCTGACCTTGTTTACTAGTTCTCAAGCTCATTTTTTTGTCGCCTCTTTTTTTATATATCCTTGGTTACTTACTTATACTAAGTACTTTTATCTTTTATTCTATGCATTTTCAACTTCATAAAATCCTGAAGCAATTGTAAAATTTCCTCAAAAATTTCAAGTTGTTTCAATTTCTCCAAAATAAGGGAACAATCGACACCTTTCAGAAGAAATTTGCACGCGAAAATTCCAAATGGAAAAGGGTTAAAATACATTGGCTAGTATACTCAAAGAAAGTTGATGCAGGTTTTTGTATGGCTCAAATAAAGTAACGAAATGAATAAAGGAATGTTGTAATGACAAGAAGCATTTTAATGAGAGGTTGCAATCTTATGAGATTTAACAAAATAGACTGAAATAGATATGAGTCACCAAAAGCGGATGTCTGTATCAATTTGAACCATATTGTTACGCCTCTAGTCGTTAGTTAATTTTCCGTAAATTCGTTCCGACGAAACTTTAGCGACACAAGTCCTTTCTTAAATAAAACTGGTTTATTCTTTCCGAATACAACTTTACGATACACTTAATTTCAACAGTCGCTCTATAACAAACGCTATATCTCACGTGGCCAACAATATTTTGTACGAATACATTCAATTACTCATTACACTGTTGTCCCGTCACGTTGTGAACGTCTTATATATATACGAGACTAACACATACCTAGTAAATGCTAACGTGGGTTCTGTCACATACCCATTATCTAAGTGCTTAGCAGGACATCTATCCCCAGTTGTTGGAAAAATCTCATCGTCACACATCCAAAACAGTTTGATTTTGCGAATAAAATTAAAAACACTGACCTACATAAAGGGACAAAATGTTAAGTATTGACATTGGAGCATTGTTTACCAACATACCAGTTGAAGAAACCATAGAATTTGTTACAAAATAATTACCTGAACTGAACATATCTTTGCATGTTTCCATTGACACTTTATCTCTCTCATTGAAATCTGTGTAAACAACAATGTATTTACTTGTCTTGATCAGTTTTATACAAAAATATGGAAAGACTATGGGAAATCCACTGTCTCCAATACTGTGCAACCTTTTCATGGAATATTTTAAAACCGAATAAGTTCCTTCCATAAATATAAACCTTTCAAAAATTCCGTGGTTCTGATATGTTGATGATATATTTTCTGTGTGGCAAAATAAAAGAAGTGATTTTTAAAGAATTTTCAACAACCCTTATCAACCTCATCCAACTATCGAATTTAACCAACTTTCTTAGATGTTTTGATAAACAGAACCATTCCTTTCAATATACAGTAAACAGACAAGTTCTTTAAGTTATGTTCACTTCATTTCATGTTACCATAAACATGTCAAAATATGTATTATTTCTTCATTTTTTCTTAGAGCATATAGAATATGCAACCCCACAATGCTTGAACATGAAATTAAAAATAACTTTTTTATTTTCAAAGAACTACATTTTCCACCACGTTTCATTACAAATTGCCACCTCAAAGCAAGAAAAACCTTGTACCATGAAGATAAAGAAAGATCAACTATCATTAGATAATGTGAAATCACTTTATATTGGCTACAACACTAACATTGAGCTTTTTGAGAAAATATTAAGGAAGAATAACTTTAGAATCATATACAAATATCTGAACACCATTAAAAACAACCTAACTTCAAAGAGAAAAACACTTGAAGATAAAAAACAAGGCGTTTATGTTATACCATGACAATCCTGTGAAAAAGGTTATGCAGGTGATATCGGAAGAAGTCTTGACATGAGAATTTCTGAACATAAAAAAAAGACATAAAATATAGAAACCAAAACAATGCTATTTTTCTTCATATGAACGATTCTGGCCATCAAATTGATTGGAAATCAACAAGAGTTTTATACAAACGAATAACTACATAAAAAGAAGAATATTCGAAAGTTGCTTAATCAAAATCCTGCCTAATTTCAACACCTGTCAAGGTTACTTTAAATTTAACAACTTCCTGACCTCTTGTGTCCTTCAGGAAATTACAAGATCAGGGGTCACGTAGGTGTTTCTTGACCATTTTTTTTCCCTGCCAGAATATAACGTGAGACTGAAGAGGACGCACAAATGTGTCGAAACTAGTTTCTCTAATACCAGACTTCTGACAGTTTTCCGTTTACTGTGGTTTTTCACTAATTGCTAAACACGATATTGTGTTCTTTTATTATTGGTAGTATGCTCGTTACTTTTATTTTCTGTATGATTTCAAGCAGCTTTGAGAAATGAGAGAAAACGCCATGAAGAAGCACTGTGTGAATTTGAACTATGCATTGTGTAACGGAGGTTCTTACAACATTGAGTGAGTACAGACTTTTTTCAGAGCTGTGGGTGCTTCTAGAACTCATCTGTAGAGAAGCTGGAACTGCACTTCAAGCCCTTCACTTTCTTAAGTCACTAGGTAGTTCCTTCCCAAATCCAGTCATATTGTATAGGATTTTGTTGACAATCCCAGTTACAGTGGCTTCAGGGGAGGGAGGTTTCCAAATTAAAAATAATAAAAAAAACAGCTTAGGAAAAATATGTCTCATGAAAGGCTAGGTGAACTCGTCATACTCTCTATCAAGAAGAAAACAGCATCAACGTTAGATTACCAAAATCTTATAGCAGAGTTTACTGCTAGGAAGTCATGGTGCAATACTGATCAGTAAATTTTTTTAATTATATGACTTTTTTAAGGAGGCTCCACACAAGCTGATTTGCCCCCTCATTCCCCTAGGGCTGGCCCTGTTTATAGGCCAAAAGTTGAACTAGTAGGGATATACAACAACAACAAAAAATAGAAACTAGAAACCATTCAAATCTACACACTCCTAACAGGTAGCAATATAGATTGTGCTTAGTAGTCCATGCTCAGATGTCGGCAATCAACTTATGTGTACCATACAGACAAAGGAAGATTGGACTAGCAGTAGATCAGATGTAGATAATCAACTTATATGTACCATACAGGCAAGGGAAGCTTGTACTAGCAGTAGATCAGATGTCGGCAATCAACTTATGTGTACCATACAGACAAGGGACGATTGGACTAGCAGTAGATCAGATGTGGATAATCAACTTATATGTACCATACAGGCAAGGGAAGCTTGTACTAGCAGTAGATCAGATGTCGGCAATCAACTTATGTGTACCATACAGACAAAGGAAGATTGGACTAGCAGTAGATCAGATGTCGATAATCAACTTATATGTACCATACAGACAAGGGACGATTGGACTAGCGGTAGATCAGATGTGGATAATCAACTTATATGTACCATACAGGCAAGGGAAGCTTGTACTAGCAGTAGATCAGATGTCGACAATCAACTTATGTGTACCATACAGACAAGGGACGATTGGACTAGCGGTAGATCAGATGTGGATAATCAACTTATATGTACCATACAGGCAAGGGAAGCTTGTACTAGCAGTAGATCAGATGTGGATAATCAACTTATGTGTACCATACAGACAGGGGAAGATTGTACTAGCAGTAGATCTGGTGGCAGAAGACATTTTATGGTAGTACATGGTAGGTTATCAGAACATACCAGCGGATGAAAACACCCAAGCAAGTAACAGGTAGCAGAGAGAAAAGGATTGCGAGAAAATATGTAAACTCAATCACATCTAAGTAGATACAGGGTCTGACACTCACATAATTAACAAGTTAAATAAGTTAGATAACCTAACATAAATAAGGCTGCAGCTCCAACAGAGAATAATTATTGTTCTTAGTTATTTTAATGCAAAACCCTTTTGCGAAATATTCTTCATTATGACATTGTGAAATATGATTATATTATACAGTACAGGTACACACAACTTCCCCAACACACATCATTTATATATATATATATATGCAGATTTATGTGTGTGGGGGTGTGTGTGTGTGTGTGTGT